AAATGTGTTCTCTTTCCGAAACTTAACATCTTTAGCCTGCATATCCTTGAAAAACAAATTAGTGTTGGTAATCAGTTGGTCCTTACAAAATTTACGATATTTACAGGGTGGGATGAAAAAAACTACAACCAACATCAGACTGCTGTCATTTCTAAGCCACTCGTCCGACAGCTGTTAAAATTATTTCAGTGACAGCTCATTATATTGTTTACAAGCGTACAAAAGCATTCTGGAGAGAATCTTTCAGAAAAAAAGTTATTCGTGATGGAATTCAAGCGTAATAGTGTGATTTCTTTATATTTGGCTGGAAAACCACAAGTGGCTATAGTTAGAGCACTCCAGCATTTAAATGTGAATAAATCTTTTGTGTCTCGTACATATCGTACCGTGATCCTGGTAGCGTAGCCCGACGTCAAGGAAGTGGACGGAAGAAAACAGCAACATCAGCAGAAATGGTTCGAAAAGTAAAGAAGCGACTTGATTGAAACCCGCTTCGCAGTGGCCGAAAAATGGATCATGAGCTGAACATATCGCAATATTCCATTCTGCAAATATTGAAAAATGAGCTCGGGGTAAGGCCAACAATTGCAAGAACTTACACCGCAAAGGGAAGAAATTAGACTCAAAAGAGCTAAAGAGTTAATCCGCCGATGAGAAAACATTCGTTGTCCAGCAATTTATAAACAAACAAAATGAGCGTGAACTTGCCAAAGAGATCAGTTGAAAATGTGCACCTTCGGTTGGCCACCAGAACTCAAGCGTTGGCCATGGTGATGGTGTGGGCCGCCACAACAGCCGATGGTCGCTCTCCGCTCGCATTAGTCGACCGTGGCATCAGAATAAATGCCAAATATTATCGCGAAAATATTCTGGAGGGTCAGGAAAAAATGTTGGCCGCAGACCTTGGACATTCCAACAGGACTCAGCACCTTCGAAATCAGCACGCGCCACCCAAGAATGGTTACAAAATGAGGTTCCTCGCTACATTTCCAGCGTACAATGGCCACCAAAATCTCCGGATACCAATCCGTTGGACTATTGTGTCTGGAAAGCAAGGTTGGCACTAAAAAATACCAAAGTGTCGATCACCTCAAGCAAGCGCTTCGGCGGGAATGGGCCAAAATACCGCAGAATAAAATTCGAGCAGTATTTCAAGGTTTCATTGACCGTTGGAAGGTCATAATTTGTGCTAAAGGTGACCAATTCGAACAAATCTAAACTTATTCTAAAATTTAATGCTATTTCCGACCTTTTTTTGCTTTCATTCAATAAAATTAAAAAAAAATGTAAAATTTATGGCGTTTGACTTTGTTGCAGTTTTTTCATCTCACCTCTCATATATTGGTCCTTCATAGAAACTCAAACTCCTTTATCGCCATACACTTTACTTATCCTGGTCACTTCATACCCATTTGTCCATCCTATACCGTTTTGATAAGGAAAGTGAAGATTCGAAAAAATTAATTGGATAAATTATTAAAATTCTGGTGTAATGAAGGATAACCATGAAACCAAGCCAAACGCACATAAATTTAATTAGGGTTCATTTACCTCCATAAAGGGAACTGTTTCAAATCAATGGCACACACGGACAAAAAAAGGAAGTAACGTGTGGAGTGAAACATAATTATTACAAGAAAACGACAAATAACAAAAACAAAGCTGTGAAAGACATAACAAATTTACTGCAGGAGAAGTTGAAAACAACAACAACTTTGAGGGGGGTAAGAGACTTCTCACAGGCAGGATATATTCTAGACGTCTTACACCAGCATTTTCAGGTGCTGTCTAGGAAAAGGTAAACTTTTGAGAACGTGTTGGGTCTGATAGTTTCCCCTCACTCCCTACTGTTATTGCCACCAGACCCCTGAGAAGGCAAAGCACACGAAATATTAACATAAAAAAATTCCCCCCCCCCAAAAAATCCTTTTTGAACTGAAATTTTGGAATCAAAACACCTGCAAGCATATATCCTTCTTTTCACCCCCTTTCCACATCAAAATTGACAGCCAACATTCCAAAGCTGATTCTCTTTCGAAAAAAAAACAACCCAAAAAAAGAAAGAGAGCAACCAACCAACTAATAATTCAAATACAACAACGACCTAGACATGTATGGGAATGAATTAACACGCAACGCTCCTTTCGGGCAGAGATAGCAACCGGGAACCCATTGAATGATAGCAACGGTCACCAAACCAAAAGTTGGCATTACAAGGGAGTGAAGACGACTTAAATGGACGCTACATGTTGAGACCTCCCAAAGAAGGTCTTTTATAGATAGAGGAGCCATGGACTTCGCTAGAGGACCCCTGGACTTCTTCTATGGCTAGAGGACCCATAGAAGATTTTCTATGGATCGCGAGTCCAGAGAAGGTCTTCTAAGGATAGAAGATCCAAATAAAGTCTTCTTTGGTTAGATGACTCATTGAAGGTCTATGGCTAGAGGACCCTTTGGATGAAGGATTTTGATAAGGTCTTCTATTGATAGAAGATCCATAGAAAGTCTTCTATGATTAGAAGACCCGATGAAGGTCTTCTTTTGATCTAGTGAAGATCTTCTATGGACAGAAGATCCATAGAAGGTTTTCCATGCATGGATGAGCCATATAAGACTTTCTAAGGATCGAGGATCAAGAGCAGGTCTTCTATGGATAGAAGATCCATAGAAAGTTTTCTATTGTTAGAGGACCCATGGCTAGGGGACCCGTGGAAGGTTTTCTAAGGCTAGAGGACACATAGAAGGTCTTCTATGGACAGAGGATCTATAAAAGGACTTCTTTGGAAAGAGGATCCATAAAAGATCTTCTGTAAAGAGAGAACTCATAAAAGGTATTCTATGCCTAGAGGGCTCGTAGGAGATGTTTTATGGCTAATGGGCCCATAAAAGGTCTTCTATGGCTAGAGAACCAATAGATGGACTTCTAGGGCTAGATAACCCATAGAAAGACTTCTATGGCTATAGGACCCATAAAAGATATTCTATGGATAGAGGGCCCATAAAGCGAATTCTATGATTTGAGGACCCATAGAAAATCGCCTATGGCTAGAATATCCATATAAGGTCTTCACAAAAGGCTAGTGGATCCATAAAATGTCTTCTGCGGATAGAAGACTCATAGAAAGTATTTTATTAATAGAGGACTCATAGAGAGTCTTCTAAGGATAGAGGACCCAAAGAAGGTATTATATGGCTAAAGGACCCATATAAGGTCTTATATGGCTAAATGACCCATAGAGGGTCTTCTATGGACAGAGGACTCATAGAAAGTCTTCTATGGCTAGAGGACCCATAGAAGGACTTCTATGGCTAGAGGACCCATAGAAGGACTTCTATGGCTAGAGGGCCACAGAAGATCTTCTATGGACAGAGGATCTATAGAAGGATTTCTATGGAAAGAGGACCCACAGAAGGTCTTCTATGGACAGGGGACCCATAGAAAATCTTCCATGGATAGAAGACCCATAAAAGGACTTCCATGGATCGAAGACCCATAGAAAGCCTTCTATGGATGAGGACCCATTGAAAGCAGAAGACCCATAGAAGGTCTTCTATGGATAGAGGATCCATAGATCATCTGCGAAGAGGAGACCAATAGAAGGTCTTCTATAGCTAGAGGTCCCACAGAAGATATTCTATGGACAGAGGATCCATAGAAGGATTTCTAGGGATAGAGGACCCATAGAAGATCTTCTAAGGATTGAGGATCCATGGAAGGTCTTCTAAAAATAGAGAACCCATAGAAGGTCTTCTATGGACAGGGGACCCATAGAAAATCTTCCATGGATAGAGGACCCATAAAAGGACTACCATGGATCGGAGACCCATAGAAAGCCTTCTACGAATGAGGACCCATTGAAAGTCTTCTATGGTTAAAGATCCATCGAAGATAATCTATAGCTAGAGGACCCATAGAATGTCTTCTATGGACAGATAACACTTAGAAAATCTTCTATGGATAGAAGAGGCCTTCTATGGCTAGAGGACTTATAGAAAGTCTTCTATGGACAGCGGAGATTTTCTGTAGCTAGAGAACCGAAAGAAGGTCTTTTGTGGCTAGAGGGCCCATAGAAGGTCTTCTATGGACAGAGGACCCTCAGAAAATCTTTTGTAAATAGAGAACCAATAGAAAAGTCTTCTATGACTAGAGTACCTGTAGAAAGTCTTCTATGGACAGATGAGCCATAGGACATCTATAACTAGAAAAAGGTCTCCGAGGCTAGTGGACCCATAGAAGGTCTTCTATGGTTTGAGGGACCATAGAACATCGTCTATGGCTAGAGGACCCATAGAAAATCTTCTATGGCTATTTACGAATATCTTCTATGAGTCCTCCAGCCTTACCTTATATGGATCCTATAAGGTAAGGCTGGAGGACTCATAGAAGATATTCGTAAAGAGAGGGTCCATAGAAGATCTTCGTGAAGAAAAGCTCCATAGAAGATCTTCTATGCACAGAATACCCATAAAAGGTCTTCTATGGCTGGAGGAATTATTGGAGTCTTCTCTGCCTGGAAGAACAATAGAAGGTCTTAAATGGATAGTGAACAGAGTCTTCTATGGCTAGAATATCCATAGAAGGTCTTCTATGGATGGAGGACCTATAGGACGGGCTTCTGTAGATAGAGGACCCATTCTATGGGTAGAAGACGCATAGCCCTTCTGTGGATAGAGGGCATTTGGAAGACCTTCTTTGTTTAGAAGACCCGCGGATAATATGTGGATAGAAGACCAATAGGATGCCATCTGTTGGTAGGGGACCCATAGGAGTTCTTCCTCGTAGAGCCTTATATCGATTCGAAAAAGTATCCTTTCCAAGTATTATTTTCTTATGTCCCCATTGCCCTCGCGTAGGGCATCGCCATTAACCAAACTCATAAAGAAATAAAACGAACTGCTCCGCTGGAACAGATAAAATATTCATGAACGAGGTCTAGCAGTTTGGCTGTGACCGACCGGCTAAAGCTAAAAACTCTTCGATTTCACAATGTCAAAGTTTAGTTTGATTTCGAGAGCCGAACCGAGCGGAATGAAAAAGCGAAAGAAACCCATTTCCGACGAAATGTAACGAAGTCAATTGCAGTAGTGGATTTTCAATACTTTTATGAGTTATTAGATTGCAAGTAAAAGATAAAACAAAAACAAAAACAACAACAAAGAGAGAATTTGGGTGTAAAGGAAAATACAATAACAAAAATTGGAAAAACAACTCAAACAGGATATTTCACTTAAAATAATTGTTTCTGGTCGTAATAAAATAATAATTTTGAAACGAATTCTAATATGGCTTGTTTTCGAAACAATGAAGTCGGTAACTGCTATGTCGGGTCACGTAAAGCTCTGCGGACTGAAGTGAAGTTGGAATTGCGGTACTAAATATAAAAATATAAAACCCAAAATGTTTAATAATGCAAATCGTTTTACAATACCAAATTAGTGTGACAGAATTTTAAAATCGAAAGAATAAAAATTTAATAACCGATCATTAAAATCAGAAAATAGCCAGTGGACAATAAAGGAATTGGAACGGCCATAAAAGAACCACACACACAAGAAAAAATTTAAATTCTCACAAATCATTGTCCTCGTAGCCTTTGCTGAGCGGTACCAAGAACAACCACCACCTCAATAACAACAACAACAAAAAACGAAACGTTAACCACGGAATTAGCTGTGATTCCGCTGCTACATTGGCTACCGAATGGATAATGGGTATTTGTTTAGACACAGGTAAGTCGGAGAGAAGAAATGTCCCACAAACTGCTCCCAACCGCAACTATGGATGTGTGTCACTCGAACATTACTCCAGTCCTTGAGAGAAGAAATAGAAAGAAAAAAAAAAACAATTTTCTCCAACACCCTCCTACTCGGCATGGCATGAGAGTGAGTGTAGTTAGAGGGTGGAGCGGGGATATTGTGTCCATGATTTGTTATTATTTTGTCATATCAAAAAAGTGTTGCCACTCCACAAGTCGTCAAATGGTTTTCCGGTGGTGGTGTGGAATTTCGAATTGGAAGGCCGTATGTTGAACTATTTTGAAATAAAAAAAAGAAAAAAAGGCGAAGGATGTTGCCAAGAGAGAAAAAAACGCTCTATCCACATATTTATTTATCCTAAAGAGCCCTACAAAGAAGGTCTTCTAAATATAGAAGCCCTTAGGATGAACATTCTATTCAATTTTATAATTTTTTGGGAGTCCAGAGAAATCCTTTGCCTTTAAAAGATAAAAACACAAGTAAAGAAACATTAAGTTCGGCCGGGCCAAACTTTTAATACCCTCCACCTTAGGCTAAAGGATATATTCATGGGAAAATGTGCCAAAAATCATCAAAATACCGAATATGAGAAAAAAACGGCTATATGGGGCTACACAAAAAATGGACCTATACATACAGTGTTTCGCCAAAAGAGCTAGAACCCACTAAGGCCAACAAATACCAATTTCTAGACAAATCCGCGAAGAAATGTGGCAAAAATAATCAAAATACCGAATATCGGGAGGTATCTTTGTATGGGGCCTATACCAAATCATGGACCCATACATGCAATGTCTCGCCACACGAACTGGGACCCGTTATGACCTACAAACTCCAATTTTCAGACAAATCCCTGAAAAAATGTGGCATAAATCATCAAAATACCGAATATCGGGAGGTACCTTTGTATGGGGGCTATACCAAAGCGTGGACCTATACATGCAATGTCTCGCCACACGAACTGGGACCCGTTATGACCTGCAAACACCAATTTTCAAACAAATCCGTGAAAAAAATGTGGCAGAAATCATCAAAATACCGAATATCGGGAGGTATCGTTATATGGGGACTATACCAAAACGTGGACCGATATATCTCATTTTCAATACCAAGCATCCTAGAAACAATACAAATTGCTCTGTTAAATTTTGGCGTTCTACGTCAAATAATGAGGTCTGCATCGTGATTTCAACAGACGGACAGACAGACAGACGGAAATCGTTAAATCGATACTTTATGGGGTCTACGACGAATATTTAAGGATGTTACAAATGGAATGACAAAGTTAATATACCCTCCTTTCCAAGGTGGAGGGTATAAAAATCCTTAGAAGAGAATCTAAAGAGACCTTTTAACAATAGAACCTCCGCAACGAGCTTCTGTGTACGGAAGATATCAGGGACGTACAGAGAAACGTATCTCGAAACCATTTCGGAAACCCAACTAGAAAAAATAAGAACAGACAGGTAGCCATTTTTGAGGCTCTGCGTAGGTCCCTGGAAGACTTGTAAGTACCGTACTTCATTGAAAAATAAGGTAAAGAATGTTCTCTATTTATAAATCTCCGTCAGCGTTCTCACAGGAGAGAAGGCTGGTTCTAACAATCCCACGGATCCTAGTTCTCGTTGGGAATACTAAGCTCTGGGCACATGGTTCTAAATCTGAATTTCGAGATTTCGATTACGAGATGCAAGCACCTTTTTATACCCTCCACCATAGTATAGAGGGTATATTTAGTTTGTCAATCCGTTTGTAACACCTCGAAATATACATTTTAGACCCCACAAAGTATATGTATACTCGATCAGCATAAAATTCTATGACGATTTGAATTTTGTAATGGCTTATGACAAAAGTTGCCAATGCAGGTCCACGTCGTCGTTTAGACCCTAATACAACGGCTACATTTTGTATTTTTAAGATTTTAACAGAAATTTTAACGGATTTTTTTTTAATTGTTTTCAAAAAGAGACTTAGTTTTTGATTGAGCAAAGATAGATGTAAAATATTTGACAATCTTGTGGTTTTCAAAAGCGAGAGGCGAGAGGATTTCAAAATCGAGAGGCAGAGTGGATTGAGCTTAAAATTTGAGAGTCGAAATCTGGGACCCAATGCGGTGTGGACAAGTAGATATTGTGTAGAGCAGCGGTGCTCAAAACCGTGTTCTAGAACATGAAGAGAAAAAAGAGATACTTTAAGAGAAAATTAAAATTCTGTTTTTCTTTATATTTTACGGTTCTATTTAATTGTTTTTAAACACGAATGTTTGCCAAAATAATTTACAAACAAATGGAAAAAAAATATTTGTATAAATAATGACTTAACACTGTTTTGTTCTGGAGAGAAAGAGAAATTTGACTGAAAAGAGATATTTCTTCTTGAGCACCGCTGGTGTAGAGTATATATTGTGGAGCCTTGGTACGTAGGCTGGTTTTTAAGAAATTCGTACTAAAAGGCGACGAGAAATACTAAACTGTACTAAAATTTGAATGCTTTGTATTGGAGAAACGGAATTAACTAAAATTTTGATATTTGAAATGAGAGTCACAGAGAGAGAGAGGGTAGACGTACCAAAGGGTTTTTTAGACAATCGAATTTCAGGTTGCGAAAACTTTTAAAATCGTACTAAACTTCAAAAATGTAATATTTGGTATTATGTGAAAGGATATTGCTACAAACTTGAAATTCGGTATGAGAATCAAGGTGTGATAGCAAGTTTGATATATGAAGGTGGTTTTGGAAATATGTACCAAGTGTGCGAACTGTACTAAATGGTACTAAATTTGGAACAGTTTGATTTTTTTTTAGTTTTGAAATTTTGTAATGGGGGTACCTATTAGTGGTAGGTTTGTGATAAAGAGGTGGTTTTGGAAATGTGTTCTACAAGTTCTCGAAAAGTTCTAAATAGTACTATATTTAGTACAATTTGGTATTTGGGGAACAGATAGTGCTTGAAATGTGAAATTTGATTTTAGGGCCGCTGTTCATGTATAGCCTGGACATATGGAGATGGTTTCGGAAATGTGTACTACAATCGTACGAAAAGTATTTAATGGTACTATATTTTGTATTGGGTGAAGGAATAGAGAAACAATTTGACATTTAGATTTCTGATGGTATCTGTGTTTAAGATTTTGAAAATGTGTCCTACATGTGTACGAAAAATACTTAATGGTACTTAATTTGGTAATGGATGAATGGATAGGGCTGGAATCCTCAAATATGACATTTAGGTCTATGTTTGTATGTGAGATTGAGGTATGGAGGAGGTTATATAAATGTGTTCTATAATTGTACGAAAAGTACCATATAGTGCTAAATTTGGTATTCGGTAAGGGAACATTTGAAATTTGATATGGAGGTCATTATTGGTATATGTAGTTAAGTGAAGCCGCTTTTTTAGATATCCGTACTAGAATTGCACTAAATGGCACGAAATTCGGTAATGAGTAAAATTGCAGAGCGTTAGTTCTGATAGAGCTAACGAATTGAAATTTGATTAGAAAATCAAGGTTCAAAATAAGTTTGATATATAAAGGCGGTTATAAAATTTGTGTAATAAGTGTTCGAACTGTACTAAATGGTACTAAATTTAGAACAGGTTGGTTTTGGATGAGCGGATGAACCTGTAATTTTAAAATTTTGTATTGGGGGCCCAATTGTTGGTAGGTTTGTGATATATAGGTGGTTTTGGAAATGTGTACTACAAGTGCACTAAAAGTACCAAATGGCACCATATTGGGTACAATTTGGTATTGGGCGAACATATAGTGCTTGAAAACTGAAACTAGGTATAACGGTAGCTGTTCATGTGTAGCATGGACATATGGAGATGGTTTCCTAAATGTGGACTATAATTGTACGAAAAGTACTAAATTGTGCTATATTTGCTATTGATTGAAGGGATAGATATAAAGATTTTGCGGTTGTTTGTAAATGTGTCCCACATTTATACGAAAAGCACTAAATGGTACTTAATCTGGTAAAGGTGAAGGGAATCAGCTGGAATCATCAAATTTGATATTTAGGTCTCTGTTGGTATCTGGGATTGAGATATAGAGGTGGTTTGTGAAATGTGTACGATAATGGTGATAAAGTGCTACACAGTACTAAATATGGTATTGGGTGAAGAGATAGAGCTGAAATCCTGAGATTTGATATGGAGGTCACTGTTGGTGTCTGCAGTTGAGAGATGAAGATGGGTTTAGATATGCGTATTATAAATGTACTAAAAGGCACTAAATTTTGGTAATGAGCGAAATTAAATAGCTGAAATCCTCAAATTTGATAGTTAGGTCTCTGTTTGTATCTGGAATTGAGATATGGAGGTGATTTTGAAAACATGTACCATAATTGTACGAAAAGTACTAAATGGTTCTAAATTGGGTATTTGGTGAAGGGATAGAGCTGAAATCCTAAATCTGTTGCTGTTTGTAGTTGACAGAAGGGCGTAATTTAGAAAATGCGTACCATGAACGTTTGAAAAGTAAAAAATGCCACAAATTGTGCCGTTGGATGTTGAAATAGAGATGGAATTCTGAAATTTGGTACTTAAATAACTGTTGGTACATGAGGATCAGATTCGAATGTGGGTTTGGAAATGTAGTTGTTCGAAAAACACTTCATTTAACTAAATTTGGGGTTGGATAAAGGGATAGAACTGAAGCCATTGAATTTCATATTGCGATAACTGTTGGTGTCCAGGATTGAGATATTGAACGGTTTTGCAAATGAGTACTAAAATGATACGAAAAGTACAAAGTGGTACTAAATTGGCCATTGGGTGAAGGGATAGAGCTGGAATCCCGAAATTTGATGTTGCGGGGTCTGTCGGTATTTGGTGTTGCGATTTGGTGGTGGTTTTTCAAACACGTGGTACTAATTTTGGATCACTGTTGGTGTCTAGAATGAAGGGATAAAAATTACTTTGGATCTGCTTAATTAACGTTACTAAATTTGGTATTGGGTGAAGG